TAGTGGGTGGTAGTAGTAGGTGGTAGTGGGTGGTAGTAGTGGGTGGGTAGTAGTAGTGGGTGGTAGTGGGTGGTAGTAGTGGGTGGGTGGTAGTGGGTGATAGCAGTGGGTGGGTGGTAGTAGTAGTGGGTGGTAGTGGGTGGTAGTAGTAGTGGGTGGTAGTGGGTGGTAGTGGGTGGTAGTAGTAGTAGTAGTGGGTGGTGGTAGTGGGTGGTAGTAGTGGGTGGTAGTAGTAGTGGGTGGTAGTAGTAGTGGGTGGTACTAGTAATGGGTGGTAGTAGTAGTGGGTGGTAGTAGTAGTGGGGGGTAGTAGTGGGTGGTAGTAGTGGGGGGTAGTAGTGGGGGGGAGACACTCACCGGGGATCCGAAGTTGTGTCCCACCTCGTGAGCGAACGTGATGTGGGAGACTTTGGGTGGGTGGTACTAGTAGTGGGTGGTGGTAGTAGTGGTGGGTGGTAGTAGTGGGTGGTAGTAGTGGGTGGTAGTAGTGGGGGGTAGACACTCACCGGGGATCCGAAGTTGTGTCCCACTTCGTGAGCGAACGTGATGTGGGAGACTTTGGGTGGCACTAGTAGTGGGTGGTAGTAGTAGTGGGTGGTAGTAGTGGGTGGTAGTAGTGGGTGGTAGTAGTGGGTGGTAGTAGTGGGGGGGAGGGGAGACTCACCGGGGATCCGAAGTTGTGTCCCACCTCGTGAGCGAACGTGATGTGGGAGACTTTGGGTGGCACTAGTAGTGGGTGGTAGTAGTGGGTGGTAGCAGTGGGGGGTAGTAGTGGGTGGTAGTAGTGGGTGGTAGTAGTGGGGGGGAGACACTCACCGGGGATCCGAAGTTGTGTCCCACTTCATGAGCGAACGTGATGTGGGAGACTTTGGGTGGGTGGTACTAGTAGTGGGTGGTAGTGGGTGGTACTAGTAGTGGGTGGTAGTAGTAGTGGTGGGTGGTAGTAGTGGGTGGTAGTAGTGGGTGGTAGTAGTGGGGGGGAGGGGAGACACTCACCGGGGATCCGAAGTTGTGTCCCACCTCGTGAGCGAACGTGATGTGGGAGACTTTGGGTGGCACTAGTAGTGGGTGGGTGGTACTAGTAGTGGGTGGTAGTAGTGGGTGGTAGTAGTAGTAGTGGGTGGTAGTAGTGGGTGGTAGTAGTGGGGGGGTAGACACTCACCGGGGATCCGAAGTTGTGTCCCACCTCGTGAGCGAACGTGATGTGGGAGACTTTGGGTGGGTGGTACTAGTAGTGGGTGGTAGTAGTAGTGGGTGGTAGTAGTGGGTAGTAGTAGTAGTGGGTGGTAGTAGTGGGTGGTAGTAGTGGGGGTAGACACTCACCGGGGATCCGAAGTTGTGTCCCACCTCGTGAGCGAACGTGATGTGGGAGACTTTGGGTGGCACTAGTAGTGGGTGGGTGGTACTAGTAGTGGGTGGTAGTAGTGGGTGGTAGTAGTAGTAGTGGGTGGTAGTAGTGGGTGGTAGTAGTGGGGGGGTAGACACTCACCGGGGATCCGAAGTTGTGTCCCACCTCGTGAGCGAACGTGATGTGGGAGACTTTGGGTGGGTGGTACTAGTAGTGGGTGGTAGTAGTAGTGGGTGGTAGTAGTGGGTAGTAGTAGTAGTGGGTGGTAGTAGTGGGTGGTAGTAGTGGGGGTAGACACTCACCGGGGATCCGAAGTTGTGTCCCACCTCGTGAGCGAACGTGATGTGGGAGACTTTGGGTGGGTGGTAGTAGTAGTGGGTGGGTGGTACTAGTAGTGGGTGGTAGTAGTAGTAGTGGGTGGTAGTGGGTAGTAGTGGGGGGTAGTAGTGGGGGGAGACACTCACCGGGGATCCGAAGTTGTGTCCCACTTCGTGAGCGAACGTGATGTGGGAGACTTTGGGTGGTACTAGTAGTGGGTGGTAGTAGTAGTAGTGGGTGGTAGTGGTAGTAGTGGGTGGTAGTAGTGGGTGGTAGTAGTGGGGGAGACTCACCGGGGATCCGAAGTTGTGTCCCACCTCGTGAGCGAACGTGATGTGGGAGACTTTGGGTGGCACTAGTAGTGGGTGGGTGGTACTAGTAGTGGGTGGTAGTAGTAGTAGTGGGTGGTAGTAGTGGGTGGTAGTAGTGGGTGGTAGTAGTGGGGGGGAGAGACTCACCGGGGATCCGAAGTTGTGTCCCACCTCGTGAGCGAACGTGATGTGGGAGACTTTGGGTGGCACTAGTAGTGGGTGGGTGGTACTAGTAGTGGGTGGTAGTAGTAGTAGTGGGTGGTAGTGGTAGTAGTGGGTGGTAGTAGTGGGTGGTAGTAGTGGGGGGAGACTCACCGGGGATCCGAAGTTGTGTCCCACTTCGTGAGCGAACGTGATGTGGGAGACTTTGGGTGGCACTAGTAGTGGGTGGGTGGTACTAGTAGTAGTGGGTGGTAGTAGTGGGTGGTAGTAGTGGGTGGTAGTAGTGGGTGGTAGTAGTGGGGGGGTAGATACTCACCGGGGATCCGAAGTTGTGTCCCACCTCGTGAGCGAACGTGATGTGGGAGACTTTGGGTGGCACTGATGAGCCGTAGTTCTGCACTGTGATGATTCCCGTGTTCAGAGACTTTCGACGGCCGTCCGAGTAGAGGCGGTGACGCTCGCAGATTCCTCCCGAGCTGCCTGTGGGTGGTGGTGAGGAGGTGGTGAGGAGGTGGTGAGGAGCAGGTGGTGAGCAGGAGGAGGAGGTGGTGAGTGAGCGAGTGGTGAGCGAGCGATGGCGGTGGTGACGGTGATGATTCCCCGTGTTCAGAGACTTTCGACGGCCTGCGGCTGAGGAGGAGGTGGTGAGGAGGTGGTGGTGAGGAGGTGGTGGTGAGGAGGTGGTGGTGAGCAGGAGGAGGTGGTGAGCGAGCGAGTGGTGAGCGAGTGGTGAGCGAGTGGTGAGCGAGCGAGTGGTGGTGGTGGTGGTGGTGAGGACTCCGTCGTCGAATTCCCGGTCGGTGAAGACGTAGGCCAGACAAAACTCGTCATGGTGGTGAGCGAGTGGGTGAGCGAGTGGGTGAGCGAGCGGGTGAGCGAGCGGGTGAGCGAGCGGGTGAGCGAGCGGGTGAGCGAGCGGGTGAGCGGCGAGCGAGCGAGTGGGTGAGCGATCGGGTGAGCGAGCGGGTGAGCGGGTGAGCGGGTGAGCGGTGAGCGGGTGAGTTGTTACCGGAGGGAGCGGCGACCCAGGCGAGGCCCAGGACTCCGTCGTCGAAGTCCCGGTCGGTGAAGACGTAGGCCAGACAAAACTCGTCATGGTGGTGAGCGAGTGGGTGAGCGATCGGGTGAGCGAGCGGGTGAGCGGTGAGTGAGCGAGCGGGTGAGCGGGTGAGCGAGCGGGTGAGCGGTGAGCGAGTTGTTACCAGAGGGAGCGGCGACCCAGGCGAGGCCCAGGACTCGTCATGGTGGTGAGCGAGCGGATGAGCGGCGAGCGAGCGAGCGGGTGAGCGGGTGAGCGAGTGGGTGAGCGGGTGAGCGAGCGGGTGAGCGAGCGGGTGAGTTGTTACCGGAGGGAGCGGCGACCCAGGCGAGGCCCAGGACTCCGTCGTCGAAGTCCCGGTCGGTGAAGACGTAGGCCAGACAGAACTCGTCATGGTGGTGAGCGAGTGGGTGAGCGAGTGGGTGAGCGAGTGGGTGAGCGAGCGGGTGAGCGAGCGGGTGAGCGAGCGGGTGAGCGGGTGAGCGAGTGGGTGAGCGGGTGGGCGAGTTGTTACCGGAGGGAGCGGCGACCCAGGCGAGGCCCAGGACTCGTCATGGTGGTGAGCGAGCGGATGAGCGGCGAGCGAGCGAGCGGGTGAGCGGGTGAGCGAGCGGGTGAGCGGTGAGCGAGTGGGTGAGTTGTTACCGGAGGGAGCGGCGACCCAGGCGAGGCCGAGGACTCCGTCGTCGAAGTCCCGGTCGGTGAAGACGTAGGCCAGACAAAACTCGTCATGGTGGTGAGCGAGTGGGTGAGCGAGCGGGTGAGCGAGCGGGTGAGCGAGCGGGTGAGCGGTGAGCGGTGAGCGAGCGGGTGAGTTGTTACCGGAGGGAGCGGCGACCCAGGCGAGGCCCAGGACTCCGTCGTCGAAGTCCCGGTCGGTGAATACGTAGGCCAGACAAAACTCGTCATGGTGGTGAGCGAGTGGGTGAGCGAGTGGGTGAGCGAGCGGGTGAGCGAGTGGGTGAGCGGGTGGGTGAGTTGTTACCGGAGGGAGCGGCGACCCAGGCGAGGCCCAGGACTCGTCATGGTGGTGAGCGAGCGGATGAGCGGCGAGCGAGCGAGCGGGTGAGCGGGTGAGCGAGTGGGTGAGCGGGTGAGCGAGTGGGTGAGCGGGTGAGTTGTTACCGGAGGGAGCGGCGACCCAGGCGAGGCCCAGGACTCCGTCGTCGAAGTCCCGGTCGGTGAATACGTAGGCCAGACAAAACTCGTCATGGTTCTGCTCTGAGCTCAGCTCCAGGAACTTCTCCACGCCGATGTTGGGGAAGCGGAAGGGGTTGGTGGGGTCACGTGCCTCCTCCGTGCCGTTCACCTGGTGAGTGGTGAGGAGGGGTGAGTGGTGAGTGGTGAGGAGGGGTGAGTGAGTGAGTGAGTGGGTGAGTGAGTGAGTGGGTGAGTGGGTGGGTGAGTGAGTGAGTGGGTGGGTGAGTGAGTGGGTGAGTGAGTGGGTGAGTGAGTGAGTGAGTGGGTGAGTGGGTGGGTGAGTGAGTGGGTGAGTGAGTGGGTGAGTGAGTGAGTGGGTGGGTGAGTGAGTGGGTGAGTGAGTGGGTGAGTGAGTGAGTGAGTGGGTGAGTGGGTGGGTGAGTGAGTGGGTGAGTGAGTGGGTGAGTGAGTGAGTGGGTGGGTGAGTGAGTGGGTGAGTGAGTGGGTGAGTGAGTGAGTGGGTGGGTGAGTGGGTGGGTGAGTGAGTGGGTGGGTGAGTGAGTGAGTGAGTGGGTGAGTGAGTGAGTGAGTGGGTGAGTGAGTGAGTGAGTGGGTGAGTGAGTGAGTGGGTGAGTGAGTGAGTGGGTGAGTGAGTGAGTGGGTTGGTGGGGTCACGTGCCTCCTCCGTGCCGTTCACCTGGTGAGGGTGAGCAGGGGTGAGTGGTGAGTGGTGAGGAGGGGTGAGTGGGAGGATGAGTGAGTGAGTGAGTGGTGAGTGGGTGAGTGAGTGGGTGAGTGAGTGGGTTGGTGAGTGAGTGAGTGGGTGAGTGAATGGGTGAGTGAGTGGGTGAGTGAGTGAGTGGAAGGGTGAGTGAGTGAGTGAGTTGGTGGGTGAGTGAGTGGGTGAGTGAGTGAGTGGGTGAGTGAGTGGGAGGGTGATGTCACGTGCCTCCTCCGTGCCGTTCACCTGGTGAGGGTGAAGAGGGGGGTGAGTGGTGAGTGAGTGGGTGAGTGGGTGAGTGGGAGGGTGGGTGAGTGAGTGGTGAGTGAGTGGTGAGTGAGTGGTGAGTAAGTGGTGAGTGAGTCGTGAGTGAGTGGTGAGTGAGTGAGTGGTGAGTAAGTGGTGAGTGGGTGAGTGAGTGGGTGGGTGGGTGGGTGAGTGGTGAGTGAGTGGTGAGTGAGTGGTGAGTAAGTGGTGAGTGAGTGGTGAGTGAGTGGTGAGTGAGTGAGTGGTGAGTAAGTGGTGAGTGGGTGAGTGAGTGGGTGGGTGGGTGGGTGAGTGGTGAGTGAGTGGTGAGTGAGTGGTGAGTAAGTGGTGAGTGAGTCGTGAGTGAGTGGTGAGTGAGTGAGTGGTGAGTAAGTGGTGAGTGGGTGAGTGAGTGAGTGGGTGGGTGGGTGAGTGAGTGGGTGGGTGGGTGGGTGAGTGAGTGGGTGAGTAAGTGGTGAGTGAGTGGTGAGTAAGTGGTGAATAAGTGGTGAGTGAGTGGTGAGTGAGTGGTGAGTGAGTGGTGAGTGAGTGTATGAGTGAGTGAGTGGTGAGTGAGTGTATGAGTGAGTGAGTGAGTGTATAAGTGAGTGAGTGTATGAGTGAGTGAGTGGTGAGTAAGTGGTGAGTAAGTGGTGAGTGAGTGGTGAGTAAGTGGTGAGTGAGTGGTGAGTGAGTGAATGAGTGAGTAAGTGGTGAGTAAGTGGTGAGTGGTGAGTGAGTGGTGAGTGTATGAGTGAGTGAGTGGTGAGTGAGTGGTGAGTAAGTGGTGAGTGAGTGGTGAGTAAGTGGTGAGTGGTGAGTGAGTGGTGAGTGAGTGGTGAATAAGTGGTGAGTGAGTGGTGAGTAAGTGATGAGTACGTGGTGAGTGAGTGGTGAGTGTATGAGTGAGTGGTGAGTAAGTGGTGAGTGAGTGGTGAGTAAGTGGTGAGTACGTGGTGAGTGAGTGGTGAGTGAGTGGTGAGTGAGTGTATGAGTGAGTGAGTGGTGAGTGAGTAGTGAGTGAGTGGTGAGTAAGTGGTGAGTAAGTGGTGAGTGTATGAGTGAGTGAGTGGTGAGTGAGTGAGTGAGTGTATGAGTGAGTGAGTGTATGAGTGAGTATATGAGTGAGTGAGTGGTGAGTGAGTGAGTAAGTGGTGAGTAAGTGGTGAGTGAGTGGTGAGTGGTGAGTAAGTGGTGAGTAAGTGGTGAGTGAGTGGTGAGTGAGTGGTGAGTGTATGAGTGAGTGTATGAGTGAGTGTATGAGTGAGTGAGTGGTGAGTGAGTGGTGAGTGAGTGGTGAGTAAGTGGTGAGTGAGTGAGTGAGTGGTGAGTGAGTGGTGAGTGAGTGTATGAGTGAGTGTATGAGTGAGTGGTGAGTGAGTGGTGAGTGAGTGTATTAGTGAGTGTATGAGTGAGTGAGTGTATGAGTGAGTGAGTGTATGAGTGAGTTAGTGCATGAGTGAGTGAGTGGTGAGTGAGTGGTGAGTGAGTGGTGAGTGTATGAGTGAGTGGTGAGTGAGTGGTGAGTGAGTGAGTGTATGAGTGAGTGAGTGTATGAGTGAGTATATGAGTGAGTGAGTGGTGAGTGAGTGAGTAAGTGGTGAGTAAGTGGTGAGTGAGTGGTGAGTAAGTGGTGAGTAAGTGGTGAGAAAGTGGTGAGTGAGTGGTGAGTGAGTGGTGAGTGTATGAGTGAGTGTATGAGTGAGTGTATGAGTGAGTGAGTGAATGAGTGGTGAGTGAGTGGTGAGTGAGTGGTGAGTAAGTGGTGAGTAAGTGGTGAGTGAGTGAGTGAGTGGTGAGTGAGTGGTGAGTGAGTGTATGAGTGAGTGTATGAGTGAGTGGTGAGTGAGTGGTGAGTGAGTGTATTAGTGAGTGTATGAGTGAGTGAGTGTATGAGTGAGTGAGTGTATGAGTGAGTTAGTGTATGAGTGAGTGAGTGGTGAGTGAGTGGTGAGTGAGTGGTGAGTGTATGAGTGAGTGGTGAGTGAGTGGTGAGTGAGTGAGTGGTGAGTAAGTGGTGAGTGAGTGGCGAGTAAGTGGTGAGTGAGTGGTGAGTAAGTGGTGAGTAAGTGGTGAGTGAGTGGTGAGTGAGTGGTGAGTGAGTGGTGAGTAAGTGGTGAGTGAGTGGTGAGTAAGTGGTGAGTGAGTGAGTGAGTGTATGAGTGTATGAGTGAGTGAGTGAGTGGTGAGTGAGTGGTGAGTGAGTGGTGAGTGAGTGGTGAGTGAGTGTATGAGTGTATGAGTGAGTGAGTGGTGAGTGAGTGGTGAGTGAGTGGTGAGTGAGTCGTGAGTGAGTGGTGAGTGAGTGAGTGGTGAGTAAGTGGTGAGTGGGTGAGTGAGTGGGTGGGTGGGTGGGTGAGTGAGTGGGTGGGTAGGTGGGTGAGTGAGTGGGTGGGTGGGTGAGTGAGTGGGTGGGTGGGTGGGTGAGTGGGTGAGTGAGTGGGTGGGTGGGTGAGTGGGTGAGTAAGTGGTGAGTGAGTGGTGAGTAAGTGGTGAATAAGTGGTGAGTGAGTGGTGAGTGAGTGGTGAGTGAGTGTATGAGTGAGTGAGTGGTGAGTGAGTGTATGAGTGAGTGAGTGTATGAGTGAGTGAGTGAGTGTATGAGTGAGTAAGTGTATGAGTGAGTGAGTGGTGAGTAAGTGGTGAGTAAGTGGTGAGTGAGTGGTGAGTAAGTGGTGAGTGAGTGGTGAGTGAGTGAATGAGTGAGTAAGTGGTGAGTAAGTGGTGAGTGGTGAGTGAATGGTGAGTGTATGAGTGAGTGAGTGGTGAGTGAGTGGTGAGTAAGTGGTGAGTGAGTGGTGAGTAAGTGGTGAGTGGTGAGTGAGTGGTGAGTGAGTGGTGAGTAAGTGATGAGTGAGTGGTGAGTAAGTGATGAGTACGTGGTGAGTGAGTGGTGAGTGTATGAGTGAGTGGTGAGTAAGTGGTGAGTGAGTGGTGAGTAAGTGGTGAGTACGTGGTGAGTGAGTGGTGAGTGAGTGGTGAGTGAGTGTATGAGTGAGTGAGTGGTGAGTGAGTGGTGAGTGAGTGGTGAGTGAGTGGTGAGTAAGTGGTGAGTGTATGAGTGAGTGAGTGTTGAGTGAGTGAGTGAGTGTATGAGTGAGTGAGTGTATGAGTGAGTATATGAGTGAGTGAGTGGTGAGTGAGTGAGTAAGTGGTGAGTAAGTGGTGAGTGAGTGGTGAGTGGTGAGCAAGTGGTGAGTAAGTGGTGAGTAAGTGGTGAGTGAGTGGTGAGTGAGTGGTGAGTGTATGAGTGAGTGTATGAGTGAGTGTATGAGTGAGTGAGTGAATGAGTGGTGAGTGAGTGGTGAGTAAGTGGTGAGTGGGTGAGTGAGTGGGTGGGTGGGTGGGTGAGTGAGTGGGTGGGTAAGTGGGTGAGTGAGTGGGTGGGTGGGTGGGTGAGTGGGTGAGTAAGTGGTGAGTGAGTGGTGAGTAAGTGGTGAATAAGTGGTGAGTGAGTGGTGAGTGAGTGGTGAGTGAGTGTATGAGTGAGTGAGTGGTGAGTGAGTGTATGAGTGAGTGAGTGTATGAGTGAGTGAGTGAGTGTATGAGTGAGTGAGTGTATGAGTGAGTGAGTGGTGAGTAAGTGGTGAGTAAGTGGTGAGTGAGTGGTGAGTAAGTGGTGAGTGAGTGGTGAGTGAGTGAATGAGTGAGTAAGTGGTGAGTAAGTGGTGAGTGGTGAGTGAATGGTGAGTGTATGAGTGAGTGAGTGGTGAGTGAGTGGTGAGTAAGTGGTGAGTGAGTGGTGAGTAAGTGGTGAGTGGTGAGTGAGTGGTGAGTAAGTGGTGAGTGAGTGGTGAGTAAGTGATGAGTACGTGGTGAGTGAGTGGTGAGTGTATGAGTGAGTGGTGAGTAAGTGGTGAGTGAGTGGTGAGTAAGTGGTGAGTACGTGGTGAGTGAGTGGTGAGTGAGTGGTGAGTGAGTGTATGAGTGAGTGAGTGGTGAGTGAGTGGTGAGTGAGTGGTGAGTGAGTGGTGAGTAAGTGGTGAGTGTATGAGTGAGTGAGTGTTGAGTGAGTGAGTGAGTGTATGAGTGAGTGAGTGTATGAGTGAGTATATGAGTGAGTGAGTGGTGAGTGAGTGGTGAGTGAGTGGTGAGTGTATGAGTGAGTGTATGAGTGAGTGTATGAGTGAGTGAGTGTATGTGTGAGTGAGTGAGTGTATGAGTGAGTGAGTGTATGAGTGAGTGAGTGAGTGTATGTGTGA